TGCAATCTTTTCTTGCTGCCAAATGTCAATTGCAACCTTGCAGCCACCATGCAACTGCAGGAACTCTGCAAGTGCAACAACAGCACGCTGGAATGCTGAATTTACAGCAGGGTACACCAAAAGCACATGAGGAGGCACCACAGGAATGTTCTGGTAGTCCAGTAATTTGCCAGCTTTAACAGTCCTATTTTTATCTGGGTAATAAGAAAACAATGGAAAGGAGAGTTAGTCAGATTCAGCACCAGCCAGCAGTGTTGAACTTTATACTGTGTCTAGAAGGGGAATCCCCAGCTTTGACTACATCTTGAATACAACTTTTAAACCTAGGATGGTGAAGCAGAGTTTCTGTGCTTTGGAAAGCATTTTAAGGTAAGATGTTTAAAGCATTTATTTCCAAGTGACTCCAAACATAGCTCAAAAGGCTTGCAGGTAAGGTCATCCTGTAGCAGGGAGCCTTTTTGCTAAATACAATTCAGCATTCAAGTAAATCACGTTGTGCACACACAAAGTAAACGTGCGTTTGGTTGAGCATATATTTTTCCTATTCATCATTAATAATTCAGGTGCATATTCCAAAAAAAACCCCAAAAATGTTTATATTTACACATTATGCAGAATGAACTCAGGATAATGAGGATGACCACTCCTCCGGTAAAGATGATGGCAAATCTGACGATTACTCTCGGAGCTGCAAAAGCGCGCATATACAGAGGAAACACATTTATTCAGATTTTATTGATTCAGTACAGGTGCTTTAGGAAATTGTGACTCGTACCTGGAGTAGTTAGCCCAGTAGTGACCTTAACTGGAGTAAATAATTAGAAAAGATAGATTAGTCATCACATGCATTGTAAATTGGTGTAGTAAGTATTTAAAATCATACAGTGCACTTCATGCATGTGGTTTGATATATTCCCTTGCAGTACTGGGAGACTGGGATTTTCTATATGTACTTATCTTTGCAGACTCACTGAAATTATTAGCTGAACTATACTGAACAGTATTGCTCACCTGTAGTTACATAAGGAGAAGTTGGTGTAACCGTTGCTATAAAACAGAGAAAATGTTAATAGTTTTACCATTTATATCTCCTAAGTATATTGTGCCCGTCAAAAGTTTTGGCTGTAATAGGTTTTACAAAAATTTATTTTGAAAAAAAGACAAATTAAAAAAAAAACACTTACTTTTTGGTGGTTTAGGAATAGAAATAGATTCCGTCACATAAACTAAATTGCCATCCACCAGTGGAGGGAAAGGGAGATTTGCAACTTGTATTATATTGTAGCCATAGGTGGGGTTTACAGCATAATGAAACCATATCTAGGTTTCAGAACAAAAAGAAAAAAGGGGAAAAAACAATTAACAGCATCACAGACCTTTTTCCCTATGTAGGAAATAGGACCAAAAGATATGATCAGTACTACTAAGGTTAAGACTAATACCTTTTCTAATTGATCCAAGCTTGCACTGGCCAAAGATGGGTTGTAATTACAATGGTAGTCTTGTCTTTCTGTTCTGATGCGAGTGGCTGTCAAATATTTGGTACTAGCTGCAGAGAGAAAAATAACAGACTGAAATAAATTAGTCTGCCTTTAGATATTAACCAGTGAGTGTCCATGACAAGGATCCTGACACACTAAGTACACACTGTATAAAATGCATGAAAGAAAAGGAAAAATCTTCAACATCTTTTGCTGGATATCATCTCAATGTCCTTAATATTTCACCACCATCAGCAAATAAAACACGTGCAACAAAGACCTACTGTCTACTCTGCAGATGTATGATTGTTTAGTAAATGGCAACATTAAATCTGTCATAACTTCAGCAGTCCCAAGTGCTATATAAAAAACACACAAAATGTGGTCTCCAACCATCAATGCTGATCGCCCAGCTTATGTTGAGCATGACTCTTTCGCCTACTGGCACCATCTTCAATTCCAAGCCTGCCACTAGAGATGGAACCAAGGTCTCGTGTCCTGGGGGAAAACCTGAAATGAGAAACAACAGCGGTGCTCACTGTCCCCGCAGATGGATTGTGTTTTCGGATATTTAAAGAGATGGTCAGTGTTGATTTGGCAGCTGAAATATATTTTGCAGCTTCTGTAACAGTTTTTATTGCAAAAAAGATAAAAACAAACAGAGTAATGAAATCTGAAGATCTCAAATAAGCATGGCTATTACCATATTTGATAACTCACAAAATATGTAATGCATTTTTTTTTAATCTTAAATTCTTACTTCATATGCATTTGTTATTGTGATTTTCCTTTCATGTGTCTGTCAGTGATGAATTTTTTTTTTAAAAAAGTGTAGAAAAGTAGTAAAAATATGACCACTAGTAGCTTTAGAGTCAATTGGAAAAAAGAAAGTTCACCCTCTTTAAATTATAACGTATTAACATATCAGCAAATATTAAAAATAATCTGCTGGCTGTTAATAGATCTTAAAATAATACAACCTCACATGAACAACACATGACATACTTATTTAACAAAAACATATCAAAAAGCAAAAGCAGTGTGTGAAAAACACCCTTACTGCTTCCAAAGGGATTAAAAGTGAAAAGCAGCAGCCAGTTTCTGCTAATCAAATCCACCTGATTTGCTAATGATCACAAAATTTTGTGAGTTTGCTGGTCTGGGAAGTTCAGATGTGTGTTAATACAAAAGTTGCAATCTGCAATGTTCACAGAAACCGCAAACAGCCCTGGAGCTGTTAGGTGTAGCTGTGTGCAGGCAGGAATAGGACCCAAGGTGCAGACTCCGGAGACAGAACTTAAACCAAAACAGCTTTAATGCTGAACTCAAACATAACATAACTGGGGAAAAAGGTCAAAAAAATAAACTAACACCGGCGGATTGACAAAACACACAGCAAAATAAACGGTAGATCGCGACACAGACACTAAGAAACACTGGGCTTAAATACACAGAGGGAGCAATCAGGGAATGGGTAACAGGAGGGAAACACAGCTGGGGCAAATCAGGCCTAACGAGACAAGAGGAAGCAAAACCAGACACATTAACATCAGACATGGACTTTCAAAGTAAAACAGGAAACACATAACACAGACTGAACAAAGACACAGACTCCTATGCAGGCACTACAAAGGGAACAGAGACGTGGGAACAGGGCAGACACAAACACTGACTGAACACGGGGATATAGGAACTTAGGATACACATAGACGCGAACTAGACAAGGGGATGCAGGTGATAGGGGAGACAGAGCAACTAAAGAAGACAGAGACATAAGCCATAAGACAGAACTCAAAGAAACCAAAAACTAGGAAGTATAAATAATATCAAAAACTCAAAAACCCTGGGTCGACGACCCAGGCATCCTAACAGGAGCTACATTTCAGACTCTACATGCCCCAACTTGCAGTTAATAAATACCACAGCAGATTCATCAAACAGTCAAACCATGCAATACTCAGAGAAATTTGTTACAAATCTGAAGGCTAATACACCTCCAAGGAGACAAAGGACATTCTGATGACCATCAGTCTGGGATGAGATATAAGGCTGTTAACATATAATCAATCTAGAGTGAGGAATATTATTCACACGTGGAAAGACAGTTAACATCTTTTAGGAGTGGAAGTTTCATCAAACCCCACAAACCTCAATGAAATGAAGCAATGCCTTCACAAAGAGCATAACAAAATTTCTCAACAATGATCCTCCACAGCGTGAGAGATTGATGAAGTCATAGTCTGCAGTCTACGAGTGCCAAAGTAATTAAGTCTTGAGGTGTGCTTTCACACACTCCATCTGCATCTTACCATAGTTTTTGTTAACTAAATAATGACACTGTGTAATATCTCAAGCTACTGAACTTCTACAAGAGTACACATCCAGAATATTCTGGGTTTGCACAGCTGCCATCTGTCAAACGGTTATAAACGGTTATATATATAGAATAAAAACAAGAAGTAACAGACTCAGGAAGAGTTTATGTCCTGTTCCACCTCTCTACACACTTGCCTGTAAACATGGCACAGAAATACTCAGATACAAACACAGTCTGGGCTGAGGACATTTTAATTGTAAAATGATGTACAGTGCTGTTGTTTTTCACCTCTGCTGGTGCAGCCAGGCTATTTTGTATCTTTACTTACTTATTTTTTTTATTAATTCTATTTATGTATTGTTTTTAATCTTAAGAGACAGCCAAACCGCATTTCACTGTACTCTAGATCTTTATATTCTACGCGTTGCTGTTCATCTGAGGGAGTATTTAACACATTTTAGAACCTGGCAAGAACCAGATTACTTTGGAACACAAAGGTGCTCATAGTCGACCTGAAATAGTTTAAACATAACATATTGGCAGATTATAGTTTCCATCTAGCGCTAATAAACATGAAATAGGCTTACCATGATATTCTTCACATTTCACCTCCTGAAAAGCAACAGCACAAATAAATGTAAGATCCCTTTGAAGTTTGAATTAAAATAAATAAATACTAAATAATAAAGGATTACTTAAAAAAATGTAGGTCACTTACAATGTTATGTGATGTCACCTGGGCGGCGACACAAAACAGAAAAAACAGCGTGACTCCCCACATAATAAAACACCAGTAAAAGTTACAGAAATAAACGATCATAAAGCCGAGTAACTGTTTAACTACCTACAGGAGCACTGTAGTGCTGACGCTCTGAATTCCGTTATTATTCCGATAAGCCCCGCCCACCGCGCTGACCGTTTTACTTGTTGCCTGTTGAGAGGTAGGTCTGCTGCTTCACGTCCTCTTTTCTCATTAAACTATTCCAGCACCGGATCAGGTCCAATTAAGTGTCGCATGTGTGAAGTTATACTGAGTATTTTCCGTGTCCTTGTGTGCTGTTTAAGGTCCAGACGACGACTGTGAGCTCTGACCACTCGTTAGCGGTAGACCTAAACAACCATAGAGCTTATAAGCAGCCCCGCTACGACCATCGCCAGGTCTCTAAATCATTTAAATGTAACATTTCGACGCTATTTTTTTTAAAAAAAAATGAATTATATTAAAGCAGAAATGTATCAACTAATGTAACTAGATGTATGGACTTAGATGCTGGTAAGTTAGCGGTTGCGAAACTGAGTTTTCATCTCAAAGTTTCAATCAGAATGACTTAAAAGTAGAGTTTGGACATTAGCAAAGGCGTAGAGACTGCTAGACAGCGGTTACTTTGTTAGTCAATACTTGCTGACATTTGTGACTCTTGGTTTACTGATATGACTGCCGTGACCTAGATATCACTCTCTGCCTCGGTCCGATTGGGAAAACTGCACATTGTTTTCTCGAGAAACAACACGGAACAGTCCTCAGACCACACATTCACCAGAAACACACGGTGCAATTCCAGGTCTGTTGAGCTAAATTCATGTGCGCTCAGCCACAAACAACAGTTGTGCTTTTCCTGTGAACAAAATTCGTTTTTTTATGACTTTTATCAGACTGAATAACAAAGTCAGGCAGCAGAAGGCCTTACTGCTGTAGAAACACAGGACTTCTGATGTGACAGAGAATTAGAGTTTAACTTTTAACATGCTGCACTTGATGCAAGTCAAGTTAACCTATGTACTGAGTGTCTAGTTGTCCCTAGTTATTCATTTAACTGCTGTCAGTTTCACAACTATCAGTTGGGCATTTCAAAGAAAAGGAGTGGCATAAGTCATATTAGATGAATAAGTATTTAGTCTTTTCAAGGCCAATAGAGAGAGACAGATATTTTATCCTTCGGCCTTTAGTTAACTTGTGCTGTGGATGAAAGAAACATGTTACCTGCTGAATAACAGAATAGTTATTTATTTATTTTTATCTTCAGTCCCTTGTAGTGGACATCGAGTCTTCCTTGCTGACAGAATGAAGTGATGTGATGTGGACATCATGCTCATTGCTATATCACCTTACAGCCTCTCTCTTATATAGAATCACAATATTTAAGAGAGTTGTGCAGAAATGCAGACACATACTACAAATTTCATTCTTTTCATCAGAGTTTCAGTTTTAGACATTTCCAAGCTCACCCCCTTCTGATTTGTCTTCAAATATGTGTTTGAATAAAGAAAACAGGATGTTGTGTTTGACCACACGGAGCCTAACTGGAGCCCAAAGGGCTGTGACTTGGAGACAGGGAAGATTTATAAGGGACTGCAGGTGCTTCTTTACCAGTGTGCCCGAATGCCACTTTGTCCCCAAGACCAGAAAGATGGGTCGCCCCTCTTCCCCCAGCTCATCCTTCTCCAGCCATTACAGATGCTTCACTGTCTCATCTTCTCAGTGGAGCTCTGCATCGTCACCTACAGCCGATCAGAAAACACCATCTTACAGTTATGTCATTATTGGAGCGGGGTCCGCTGGTTGCGTCCTCGCTAACCGCCTCACAGAAGACGCCCAGGAGTCTGCGCTGCTGCTCGAGGCTGGCCCTAAGGACAGGTGGTTAGGCAGCTTGCGACTCTCATGGAAAATCCACATGCCAGCTGCCCTGATCTACAACCTCTGCGATGACAAGTACTTTGATTGATCTGTTTTGTTATTCGAGTCATTAAATGATTTTGTTCAGATTTATAAAAACAGACATTTGCCTTACTGTATGACATTTAATATTACACGCTAAAGGGTTTCTAAATTAGCTCAGTGTGTAGCAAGCAGACCTTTGACCTTTAACCTACATCTCAGTTGTTTAAATGTGAACAATGAAATGGCATTACAATATTACATCGCTTTTACACGTGCAAAAACAGTACAGTATTGGCCTAACATTAATAGCCCAGCATTCTGATACCAGTAATAATAACATTGTATAAACTGTTATTAACTTATAATAGTCTGACTTGTTGCTATCTCATTTCATTTTTGCTCAGGTATAACTGGTTCTACCACACTTTACCTCAAGCCAACATGGACAATCGGGTAATGTACTGGCCGAGGGGCCGCGTCTGGGGAGGGTCCTCTTCACTCAATGCAATGGTGTACATCCGCGGGCACGCTGAAGATTATAACCGCTGGCAAAGAGAGGGCGCAGATGGCTGGGATTATGAGCATTGTCTGCCTTATTTTAGGAAAGCTCAGTGTCATGAGCTGGGAGAAAACAGGTAACTAATACAAATATATACTGGGCATTTTTACCACTGCTTTTCCAGTATCTTTTTATGTATGATCACAGCATTTTTCACTTGCGTGGCAGTGCTATTTTCTCTGTCCCGCTCACCTAGGCTTTAAAATCTCAAATATGTAACAAGACAGTTTTTTCCTTGTGCATAAATGCAGAGCAATGGATTAAATTGTTTTGCAGAACGCACCTACACCGAGCATCACGCATATCTAGACTGGCTGTCTCTAATCTAATTTCTAAGAATGTGAGAAACCAGGAAATACATCAGTCAAAAAAGGTCACAGCTCAAAAGCACTTTACAGTTTAAAACTATTATGTGCAAACAGAAATTTGAGGCACTGTGGGATATATTTGATACAATATAACATGTCATTTCATAAATAGCAAACAATGAAATAAATGTCAGCGAACTCTGAATGAGATTGATGAGACCTCCTATGAGAAATTCGTTGGAAACTGTTCAGTACAACCACAGTGACAAGGTGACAACCACAGGAAATGTACCAAAAACAAACACCGGGAGACTACAAAGACTTTACCCAAGTATTTACAGGATGACTTTGTGGAGGAAGGACTTTGGCATGCTTAACTGAGAACCTTTGTTGTCTAGATCTGAATGATGAAGATGGCTGTTAGAGTAAAACTGAAATGTTGAAATGACCTGTAAAGGAAGTAGTATAATCACTGTGTTTGACAATATGGTACAGAAACATAGAAGAACACTTAAATTTAAGTGTAGCAATTATGGAAAACCTTCTCAGTTATTGGATTGCATATCCAACAGTAAAGAAAAGAGAATTATTAATATTGTTTGCATGCCTACACTACATTACTTCCTATGAAAACAATTGAAACAGCTCTCTCTGTCTCTCTTTTTTTAATGTTATCTTTATGTTTTTGCTCTATATTGTAGATACCGAGGCGGCAGCGGACCTCTTCAGGTGTCCAGAGGGAAAACCAACCATCCCCTTCATAAGGCTTTTATTGAGGCGGGGCGACAGGCAGGATATCCATTCACTGATGACATGAATGGATACCAACAGGAAGGCGTGGGCTGGATGGACATGACCATTTATAAAGGTTCTAAATGCTAAATGCTACAGAATTGATAGATAATTAATAGGGTTAGTTACAGGTAAAGTGCCACAAACCTTTTCTGGTGAAATGTTTTCGAGTGGCAGAATTAGACGTCTGATCTCAGTCTGATTTAGCTCCAAAGGTTAAAATATCAATACTACAGTCTAAATGTCAGGAGAGCAAATCAATATGCTTTCAGATGTGCGGCCTTTAAAAAAGGAAGGGCTTAATTTCTTGGATGAAAAATGTGTGTTTGTCATTGACCACAATGTGTTTTTCAACCTCTGAGCACATGTCACTGTGTGTTCATAGAACTACTTAACCAACTCTAAAAAAATCTGAAACTTAGGCCCATTAAGAAAGTATTTACTGTCGTACGTCATATGGAATAATTCCTGAGGCCGCAGAAGAGAAACCATGTTACTGGTCAAATACGTTTCAGTACTGTTTAATTCTTGATCTAATCTTTACATACTTTCACTGTCTAAATCTATCAAGGGAAGAGGTGGAGCACTGCCAGTGCTTACCTGAGACCAGCCCTGGGTCGACCCAATCTGAAGGCGGAGGTGCGATGTCTGACCACTAAAATCCTGTTTGATGGCAACCGTGCTGTGGGGGTGGAATACATTCAAAATGGACAAAAGAAAAAGGCAAGGAGGATAGATGTTAGAAGATTAACTAATGGATCATAAAATGAAATTAATTGAAACACTGAATTATGTTTTATATCCTGAATTTGGCCCTTTACAGCGATTTTTCTATTGTCTGTTCAGGTGTTTGCAGAAAAAGAAGTGATAGTCAGCGGAGGAGCCATCAATTCCCCTCAGCTTCTCATGCTATCTGGGATTGGAAATGCAGATGACTTGAAACAGCTCGGCATCCCTGTGATTCAACACTTACCAGGTGTGTTGTGTATGTGAAGAACGTCCTTGTAGCCTACTTCTAACTTACAGAACTACAAAAATTAGAAAGTTTTCCAACTGATGCTTGTGTGACTTCAGACGATCATCTCTTCGGTGCTTACTGTCAGACCACTTTGCCTTCCTCCTCTCTCAGGTGTCGGTAATAACCTGCAGGATCACTTGGAGCTGTATGTCCAGCAGCAGTGTACTCAGCCCATCACCCTGTACAAAGCCCAGAAACCTTTCCACATGGTCAAGATAGGCCTCGAGTGGCTCACCATGTTTACTGGTAACCAAGTCACCTGCACATTTATAACGGGACAATTTCCCAAATGTTTTATAGAATTAGCGAGAGTTTCTGTCCTTGCATCACTTTTAGATGAAGATGTCTCCAAACTGCCATTTCACTCATCTAAAATGCTTGTTCATCAGAAAATATAATTGAAAAGAAACCAGAGAGTTAATATAAACCCTTTAACTTTCATTCAGGTTTCAGCTATATTAATGATTATACACAATTATTGTGCAGATGTTAAATATTAAACTATTTTCACTGGGTACACAGTCGTGTAAGGAATGTATCAGCCTGCAGCACTGCCTTTCTAAACTACAGCTGGCATTGACACAGTATATAGAAGAATCTCTCACAGTTTTAATAATGGTGACTCATAGGAAATGTGACATGAGGTGTTTTATTGGTGATCCTGGTAAATTACATTTACAGTCTGGTTCCTGGTTGTTGGAGAAAGTCAGCTAAGATAGTCGAAAGAACTTTCACTACCAGAAAAAAAGCTCATCAATCACATCACCCCAGTGGCATTTCTTGTAAATAGACATGCCTGTCTAATAAAGAGTACAATCATTTCACTAACCACATCAATCTCCCACAAGGTTATGGAGCAACAGCCCACATGGAAAGCGGGGGATTTATTCGTAGTCGTCCCAAAGTAGCACACCCCGACATCCAATTTCACTTTCTGCCCTCACAAGTCATTGACCACGGACGAGTCACCCCCAAAATAGAGGCTTACCAGGTGAGTAAAGCTTGTTTTTGCAAAACCGTGACTTCTTAATGCTGGTGTAGTGGGCATGCTTATGTTTCTTGAAGCCTTCTATAAACATGTGTAGAAACAAGAAGTCAAGTAAACAGCCCAAAGCATGAATTGCACCGCATAGAATATGCCCAGTCTTGCAGAGGAGTATTTACAGGCGTGCATATGTTCCATGGAAAAAAAAAAAAAAACAGCGCCATGAGTTTTCCAGGAAATTCTATGCGGGGAACCTTTCACCCTTATTTATAGCCTCTTTTCCAGAGAAGTGCACCTGAAACGAAATCACTCGCTCTTTCTTTTTCTTTGTCTTCTACTTAAACGGTGCAAAAGGCGCAGCCGTTTATTTCTTTTTACTTTAATTAATAGTGTCATACATCTGTAAATTAGAATTGGAATTTCAGCTCATCTCAGGGTTTATGAACTCAGATGTGTTAGCTAAACCTGCTCCCTAGAAAAGGCCCACATCTCAAGTTACATCAGTTTTTTTCCTCATTTGAAAGATAACAGTGGCCTCAGTTTTTCCACATCAAAAATGAGCACTTATGATGGTGTTTTTACTAGCGATGTGCACGGCTACTAGTCTACTACTACTAGTACTAGTTACTAGTCGGTACCAGTCTTAAGTTGTTCACTCTGTTCAAATTTTAATTCATGCCCAATGCCGGTAAATTATTGTGTACTAAATGTTATGTAGCCATCTGGCACGAGATGGCGCTTCGTCATTGAGAAATGCCATAAATCTGTTAATCTACGCTTCATATTTTTGTTAACACTGATGAGCTTTCTCTGAAAGATGAGTTCTGCCTTAGTGACAGGGTGAGCAGTTCAGTCAATTGAGAGTGGTTCAGAGTAGAGCCACGACTCCTCCATATCGAAAATAGATGGCCAAGGCCGTCACCTCCTGGGTAAGGTGTTCCAACCATGCATGTCCTTCCGGGAGAAGGCCCTGGTGCACTCCAGGGCATCCTGGAGATATTACGTTTATAGGCTGGCCTGGGAAAGACTTGATGTTTCCCCCGGAGGAGGAGGTGGCGAGAGGGAGGTTTGGGCTTCCCTGCTGCTGTCCCGCTCACCCGACTTCAGAAAAGCAGAAGAAAATGGGCGGATGATTTATTGTTTTTATTATTTTAAATTTTTAGAACTTTTACTTTAGTAGGTGTCATGAATTTTCAAAGAGCAACGTGCCAAACTTTACAGTCACAATTTATTCATTTTCCAGATGTTAACTTGTCGTATTTTAGTTATACATAAACATCTGTTATAGTTACATGTTTTCATATCATATATAACATCGGTTTAGTTTAGGTGTTTTTCTCCTTCACTGTCTGGAGTGTAACGTGTAGTGTTGATAATGCACAATGCGAGGTGCCGCACAGCTTGATTCGCTATTTAAGAATGTCATAAATGATTTAGACGCCTTTCTTATTTGTTTTTGACATTTTCCACCAAACGTTTGTCAATTTAAACTTAATATTTGAGTGTTCCTTAGTTTTAGACTAGTTGGTTAGTCTACGTTTTTTCCACAGTTATTCGAGTAAGAAATAAGGAACATCCCTAGAATTGAGTGTTTTGAGGTTTTCTCTTGGACAAAATAACTTAAAAAGCTAAAAAGCCTTTATCATGTAAAAAGCTTGGGTTTACAAACTGGGATTAATGAAATTCAGCTGTGCTGTTTTAGTTAGCTCGGTTAGCAGTGACAGTTTTACTCATGCTGTTGTTGTAGGTTCATGTTGGACCAATGAGGAGCACCAGTACAGGCTGGCTGAAGCTGAAGAGCACCAACCCCCTGGACCACCCCATCATTCAGCCAAACTATCTCACCACAGGTCTGGATGTATTTGATATTTCCTTTAAATTTCCCCCTTAAAAAAAATCTATAAAATCTATTTTTGAACGATGACAGTATTTTGACATGTTTGTAGTTATTGTTGCAGTATTGAAGTCCCTCTGCATCAACTTTTACCTCAGCAGCTTGCAGACTTTTGAGTTACAACAAAGTTGCTCTGGCACGTTCTTATATAAGCTTTTCCTGGTTTTGATTCCCTCTCCTCCTCTCAGATATTGACGTGTGGGAGTTCAGGCAGTGTGTCAAACTCTCCAGAGAGATTTTCGCCCAGAAGGCCTTTGACCCCTTTCGTGGTCCTGAAGCCCTGCCTGGTCCTCAGGTCCAATCCGACGCAGACATTGATGCTTTTGTCCGCCAAAAGGCAGACACTGCCTACCATCCATCCTGCACATGCAAGATGGGCTCGCCCTCTGACCCGATGGCGGTGGTTGACTCAAACGCACGCGTTCTGGGCCTGGAGAAGCTTCGTGTGATCGACGCCTCGATCATGCCCAGCATTGTCAGTGGAAACCTGAATGCTCCAACCATCATGATGGCAGAGAAGACTGCTGATATTATCAGAGGTCGCCCTGCACTCGTTGACTCGGGGGTTCCTGTGTACCAGCCTCCAACACTTGACACACAGAGATAAAGAGAGAGGTGTACAGCTTATCTGTGAGTTAGAAAAATCCCTCAATAGAGTCAGTTATTAGGCAAAAATAGCAGTAAATCACAAGCTGTATGTTCGATTAGGAGCTTATCAATTTAACTCTGAGCTGATATTGTGAATTATTACCATGGGAACATTCCTGGCCTAACACACATATTTAGGACCATAAACACTTCACATCTGTCTCACGCTGCCATTGGGGTGGAACAGTACAGCAAAATCACTGTGGTTATGACAGGAAATGTGTCTAATATGTGGCTTCTCGCTTAGCAAACAATTTACCAGCCTGCCTCATCATGAATTTCAGTAAAAATGCTGTGAAATGTATACATCTTAAACATGAAGTAATTACCCAAGATTACAAACTAGTGTCCAGCATCACATTAAAAAATTGCAAAACAGCTTTAAAAAACTAAAGAAACTTGAATATTTCAAGGATATGAGCTTCTGATGAAAATCTGTTTCCACGGCACTGCTTTTCAGAAAACAATTGTCTTATCAGCCGTCATCTAATGTGGTTGAGAGCTGCAGTCAGCAGCTGGAGCAAACTGTAGACTGTAGAATAACTGGCCTCAGCAGCTCGCTCCTGTCTGCTCAGACCAGATCAGTGGTTGGCAGCCTTTCGCTGTGACAATCCTCTTCCTTCCTGAAAACTTGCAGGTTCAACAGATAAGATCTTTGTTTTGTTTTTTTAGTTCCCCCGCACTCATTTCACATTAACATGAAGGCAATAAAGTGATTCGATTTCACTTTAGGTTTCCCACAATTTAACCAGTTTTTATAGCAGTTTCTATAGCTACAGCTTTACCATCAACATCTGCAGAAAACATTTGGTTTTGTTACTCTGTTTGCGTGACAACAGAGCATTGAATAGGCAGGATGGAAGAAACAAACTTCTTTTTTTTTTTTGTACATCTAAACAGACTTGTCACTAAACAGACTTGTTTAGTGACAACTGTGGGGAAGGATCATACATTGTTTACCAAAAAGACTTAAGTGAAGTGGTAATATAAACTGGACCAAACCCTGATTCAAGCTTGGAAAAGAAATTATTATAATCAGACTTGTAGCGATTACACTACCAATGCACGCATCTCTAGATTTAACAGACAGTTAAAGGAACAGACCTCCTAAATGCTGTCAATGCATCTGTAAAACTCACCTCAGTTGATTTGTTTGATTCATGCTATGTGCCAAATTTGCGTCCTTGGGCTACATAACTCACAGCTTTTGCACCGCTGTCATGTTTTAACACTATGTTAATGCACACTAAGAACTTTGAAACTAAAAATCTTCAGTGTCACTTTTATAAGCAGCTTTTTTCTGATTGTGTTGTGAATTTTTTAAAACTATGTTTTTAATGTAACTGTAATATCATTGTTGCCTATGAGATCACGATTACATTTGATTTGTATTAATTCATGTATATGTTGCACATGGCTACAGTGTGTTTGACTTTGGTCCAGTTTGAACTGACACACACCGGTGCTGAGATTTTAGACTTTGAGCGAATAATCAGTGTGTATTAGCAGCTATAATGAAAGCACTAACATAAATTATAAGTATGTCTTATTAAGCTTTGCACTATATCATAAAGAATTTATGGTTTACATTATAATGCAGTATTGTCTAACATGATGTGAATGTTTAAATCATCTGTCATTATGAAGGGAAACTTACTGTGAACACCGTCAAAGGCTTTCTGTTGTTTTTCTGTGCTGACACTAAACAAAGCCTCCTGACCTTGTTCTTGTGTCTTTATTCAGTGTTCGTTACAAAAAATCAGCAGGTTCATTGTCATTCCAGGCAAAACTTCAAGTATGCAAAAAAGGGCTTCTCTTTTTATTGGTACAAAACTTATAAGGTACTAGTACTCATGCTACAAAGTAGAGATAGAGCTATTCTTGTTTGCTTTTTTTAAATTTTCATACAACTGGATAGAAAGCAGAGATCTTCAAGTTAATCGCGTACTTTTTACAAATGCTGTACAGATTTTATACATCATTGTCACTTTATAGACATCTGTAAAGCAGTGGAACAGTACAAAAAAGTAAAGCTGCGTTGCACAACAAAGCTTTGCAGTCCTTGTCATTTTATCTCATGTGATAAATCATTTGGGTAGTTGCACTAGTAATAATCTCCACGTGACTGTTGTTGTTTCAAGTTTCTCGCATGTGAGCCACAGGGTAAATCTGAATTGTCTGGAGTCGTGCACTTTTGACAGATTATATTCCTAAGCAGGTGGCTTCCAGTCAAGAAGCTGTCGTAAGTGATTCAAAGCATAGCTGAATGCCTTGGGGAGTGGAGTTGGGTGGTTTTCAATAAAAAAACAAAAGTCTCACATAGAAGCCAACATGTTTACCTCAGACTTTTTATGGCTTCTTGGAAATCAAACCAGTGTTGAATCTGGTACTTCTCTTTAATCTTTGTAATGTTGGGTACAAACACTGTTTTTTACTAATTTGGTGGTTCATCATTCATTACTATGGACTTTTGGACAACCAATCACGATCGCTGCCAATAAAGAAAAAAAAAATCACACATAAATGTTTCCGATTACTACTTTTGTGCAAATGCAGCGTTACCAGAGTTTCCCTGACATGTTAACCAACAGGCCCGGAGAGTTACAGAGGTAATAAGATTTTTTTCAAAGTCTACATTAAAAACAATTTACTTGCAGTTAAAAAAATGCATATGTCTCATTTATCAGCTGTATTGGCCACTTAAACCTGTATGAGGCTCTTCTAGAGTGAAGAGGAAAGAGTGCATTTGCAGTCCATCTGAACGATAGTCCAGATAGCAGCTTGTATCCTGCTTATACATCTGTACATCTGTATATCTACATCATCAGAATGTCCAATAGCAACCACCGGCACCGGATTTAGACCCTTTAGTCAACTTTTAGTCACAATAGATAAATAAATAAACCTCAGTAATTTTGGTAACAAAAAACATTTGACGCATCTGAGTATGGACGAGTGTTCTCTATTCTGTCCAGACTATCTCTCCAACTCATAAATGAAATACGTAGTTGAGTGGAGAGAGAGTCTCTACACTCAGAGAACTAGGGTTACAATGTAACCAAGCATTCCCTTGTTTTGGTTTTATAGGAGCCCTTTGATTGTACAGAACAAATTGCCCTTACAGCAGTATTTAGAGTAAGAAAAAAAGAAAGATTGCCTATCCATCACTTGGTATGTTGTTTTTTGTTTAAATTAATCTGAAGGCTTTATAGTTGGCAGTGGGAGACAAACACCCATTAGTGGTGCCGAAACGCTTTACTACGATTTCCCCCAAGTTGTGCTCTTTGTCTTGACAAAAACAACTCCAACAGATAAAAGGCAACAGCAGTCATTTCATTACAATAGCAAATATACTGACATAGTATATTGTCAGGCAATCCAGTAAATAGTCGCCCATTATGTAGAGACCTGTATGGTCTTATTCATTCCATTGCAAAAACAACAAAGAGTTTTGCAGCAGTGGAGGAAATAAATGGTTTACTTGATGTGTCATCTGTGGCACAAAGAAACTGGTGGTCTTTGCTTTTATTTTTGTTTCACCTTCAAGAACTGCCAAAGATAACTTCATCCTGTCAGCGAGTAATTATTTTTAAAACATGAGTAGTCTGGGTCTCATGCACTATTGAGCCACATCACACAGAAACCTCAGAGATTATCTACTGTTGCTGATCTCAGAGTGATTCAGGGGGAATAGTGATTCATAGTAGTCCATCATTGCATATCTGAGTAAAGGGCTTAACAAAGAAAACTCAGTCTTCAAAGTTAAGGATCATCAAGGGCAGTGAGTGACACACAGCAGCGAGTGACACACAGCATCCTAATATTCCTTTATTTTTAGGGTGTGTAGCTTGATCAAACTCCTTGAATGTAGCACTGCTGTTAGTTTAAAGGGAGGACTTAAGAGAATGTGTCCGCGATTACATGAAGAAGGAGGATATGCCTGAGGACAAAGACATGTTATTTTTCTTACTGATATGTGATTTCCTTTTCAAGTCAAAAACAGAGACATAGCCAAGCTTAGCCCTGAAATCCTGAACTGTGAACCCAGAGAAGTTTAAGTGATCAAGACTACTAAGAAAAAAACTGTTTCTGTCAAGTTTTTTGTTTTTGTTTTTTTTACTCTAAATCGAGTCACGAAGGTAATAATGTAATGCGAACAACCAGTGTTTGCTAACATGACCAATAAAAGGTTTAAAATCACACATTATTTATATACATGGATCTGGCAACGAAATACAGGGAAGCTTGGAATGACTGGACAACCATACGCTGACCTGGCGCTGGTGGGGTTTGTTTTTTTCAGACATCTAAACTGGAACGTAAGTTAGTTGAATGCTTTGGATATTTTTCTAAAATTGTTTTAACAAAATCAGCTTCTTTGGGAAAAACAAAATCATGCACTGCAATCTAAAAATGATTGAAACGGTGGAACACTTTTTGTTTTTTTGGCTCTTTATATATCGAGTAAACAGTTTAGATTTATTTTAGAACAATGCAGCTGGGCCGACCCATTATCGCCTTGAACTGAAGCTGATTCCTAAAATCTGTGTTAGAAAACCTGCATTTGAGTTTTTCCTGCTGTAAGAAACCAGTGTAACAATAAAGAAAAACCCAATTTAGAGGTTTGAATTCTCACTAGATGGCAGACTGGTTGGCAGACAGATTTGATTCCCTCTGGTTTGCTAAATTTTCCAGAAACCCAACCATTTCTTCATCATTTCTTAAGAGAAAACAAGGCACTTTGCTCTCTTATCCATCTGTGTTTTACACATTTTCATTATTGCATGATGCACTTGAATAGACGTGTCCCCTCACCGTAGAGCAGTAGTAAAAATTCAATTGAAAAAATCCTAAATATATCCCAGTGTGAGCTGCTGTTATAGTGAGGTGATGCATATCATCTCATCTGTTAGGTCCTCCTCACATTTCACAGCCACATATGGTTCCTCATCGCTGTAGTCACGGATGCTGTGGTCCCTAATATTTGCACTGGCATGCGAATCCGAGCCAACGCTCTCTTTCCTCCCTGTGTTGCCATTACCCATGGTCCCATTCAGCAGGTTACTGGCGGCACTCTCCATTTCATCAATGGTCATCTCGCAGGCGTCTGCAATCTCATGTTTAGTTGCTGACACAAATTTAGGGTCCCTGGCGTATTTCCCCAAACCTTCAGAAATCAGCACCTGGGGAGAGCAGTCAGGAGATAATTAAAGCTGAAACCATGAAGTGGAAAAAGTGATCTTCAGCAAGATCAAGAACCACACATTCTGGGTCTTACAGATAGTATTCATTTAGCTGCCAATAGATGACCTCTGCAACATCCTGTTGACTTGTAAAATGAATGCTTCACTGACAGAAGCATTGCTCATCACGCTTCCCAACTTGAGTTAGCTGCCTGGACATGCAGCCATACTTGTTTTTAATAAAGGTAATTATGAAAATGTTTTTCATTTTGACATAGTGGAAAAGTTGAGGTGTACATCACAAATGAGTCAGAACAAGAAGTTCAAGAATGAAAACTTCAAGAAAGAAAACTGCTCAAAAACATTTAGAGGACACTTTGAAAACATGTCCAACTCCAATGGGGAAAACATCATGCTGCATATCTATACTGATATAGACTGTGTAATCAGTTAGAACCAAAGGATGACAAATCACTTGATGCAAGTGAAAATGATGTGTACTGTTTTCCTAGAATATCATTACATTTACATAAGTAGCCTGTGATCTGACAGGTCAAATGTAAAATAACATAACATCACTGTAAATGTAATAAAACACAATTTACTTGTTTGTTAAATATATTTTGTTGTACATATGCATATTTAGATCGTAAAAATACATCCAGAAATGTCTCCCATCATTCCTTGGGACATGTGCTGCTGTTTAGATGTTCTTGTTTTATTGTTTATGGTTACGTTACTTTTAACTGTTATCTTGAATGTTGTGTTTACGCCGTGGTGCAGCGTCACTGACAGCTGTTGTTTTGTAGAGAGAGTGCTGTAACATGAGTGACTTCTGTTGTGCTGTTGTTGAACCTTGAGGCATATTGTAGCACTGCAAGTGTTTAATTAAGGAGCTCCCCCTACCAGCTTGGGGTTCAATAACAAGCTCAATCTCTCTCTGTGAGCTTTTTTGTTAAGATTTCTCTGCATGCCACAATGTAAAACACTGCACGGACACGCTGTGCTAATTATATATTTTGAAAAAGAAATGTGGAGGTAGGAATTGCAATTAATATAAATAACATGACGCTAAGCATCGGCCAATGAATGTGAACTAACAACAAGGTCGCGGGTATGGCTGCGACCGTAGGAAAAAACCCTAATATGAAGGTATTTTAATGTGCATTTTACAGTAATGTTCTGTTCTTCTAGAATATCATTAAAGTTACGTAAATAGACTTTGACTTCACATTTTGAATGTAAATTAACGTTAAATCACTGTAATGTAATACAACATAATTGTCATGATTATTAAATGTATCTGTCTGTACATATGCATATTTAGATTGTTAAAATACATTCACAAATGTATCATGATTTCACAAATATCTGTCCGTTATTTGAAAGATTGAACTGTTGAATTCAAATGTAATGCTATGGAAAAGTATATAACATGATCCCTATAAGCTTGTGTTACATCACATAAGTATTATTATGATTGCTAGTTAGGCCGTTCGTGGCTCAAGAGTTGGCAGTTCGCCTTGTGATCAGAAGATTGCCGGTTCGCGCCCCGGCTCGGACACTCTCCGTCGTTGTGTCCGTGGTCAAGACTCTTCACCTACCGCCTACTAGTGATGGCCAAAGGGCCATGGTGCGATATGGCAGCCTCGCCTCTGTCAGTCTGTCCCAGGGCATGCAATCAATTATTTTAAACCAACTGTTAACTGTATATTTCTGTACATTTACGTATTATGATTCATATTTCCACATTCAGTGACCTTGTTTATAGGTAATTTCATTGTTTGATCACGTAAAAATGTTCCTAATTTAATGTCTAAAAGCACTTGGAAAAGGCAGAATCCCATGTCAAATTAGCGCAACTAATTGTATTTTCATTACTGAAAATAACTGTATTTTTATGGGACAGTTATTTTCTGTTATTTTACGGTCGTATTTTTGGTGCCCCAGCTGCTGGAATATTACCGTTTTTTAAGATGTTTTTTTTTTCCTATTTATAGATGATTTCATTGTTTAGTCACATTAACATGTTCCTGATTTAATGTTTAGCGGCACTTGAAAAAGGAGAGATCCCATGTCAAATTAGCACAACTAATTGTATTTTCATTACTGAAAATAACCGTATTTTTATGGGACAGTTATTTTCTGTTATTTCACGGTCGTATTTTGGCGCCCCAGCTGCCGGAATATTACCGTTGTTTTAGGATGTTTTTTTTAACAGTGTACTACAGAGAACAAAATTCAAAGACACCCTGAAATTCAAAGTGAAAAAATGGTCCAATGGTCCAATTTTATTGTAGTCACTTAAAATGGTACTCAGTAGTTTGTTTGGCCCCCATCTGCTTGTATGCATGCCTGAAAACATCCTATTGAGACGTGAATGGTGTCCTTTGGAATCTCCACCCAGATCTGATCCGGACATCACTGAGCTCCTGGAGAGTCTGAGATTCACGCTAGCTGAATCGGACGGACCAAAACATGATGTCCCAAGTGTTATATTTGAATTAACTCAGGCGAGTGTAGCGTGCAGGAGCCGCAAACATAGTCTCACCTCATGAAGCCGGATATTGTTTTGCGCCAGGAGAAGCCCAGTACCCACTGCACCAGTGTAGGGTCTGACAGTGGGTCCAAGGATGTTACAGAACGATGTTACAGGCAGCATATTATTCTCCACGGCTTCTCCAGACCCTTTCACATCCATCACATGTGCTCAAAGTTACCTCCTCTCATCCGTGAAAAGCACACGGTGCCACTGGTGGACCTGCCAATTCTGGTATTCTATGGCAAATGCCAAGCAGTGAGCACAGGGCCCACGAGAAGACATTGTGCTTTCAGGCCACCCTCATGAAGTCTATTAAAGATTGTTTGGTCAGAGACATTCAAACCAGTGGCCTGCTGAAGGTCATTTTGTAGCTCAGGCAGTACTCATCCTGTACCTCCTTGCACAAAGGAGCAGATACCCGTTCTGATGATGGGTTAAGGACCTTCTACAGCCTTAACTCCTCCATGCTGTCGAGACTGCTCGAACACACAGTAATTCTTATGGCATTGGCACGTTTCAATGTGCCACCCTGGAGGAGCTGGACTACCTTTGCAACCTCTGTAGGGTCCAGGTATCACCTCATAATAACAGTAGTGACACTGAGCCTAGCTAAAGGCAAAACTAAAAAGATGAGGAGGGAAATATGTCAGTGGTCTTCACCTATAAAACACCAAAGCAGCTGAAACTGATGAAAAACCCCTTATGCTATTTAACTGACCAGATCAATATCCTGTATGTTGACTTGGCTTGATGCTACACTTTGATTAAAAAGTTTTACTTTCAACTTTTTCGAGCAGTGTATAAATGAAATATCACCAGATCTCTTATCCTACTTTGTGAGGGTCTATGGATTAAAAAAATGCACGGTAACAACAACAGAGCATTTGTTATGTACTCACAGCTTCCACCAGACTGTTGGCACTGCCTCTCTTTTGCAGGCAGTGCGAGCAGCACTCTGCGGGTAAATGCAGACGTGACGGAGAATGGCTTTGGCTGGGAGGGCCATCCTGACTATCTGTGTACCATGAACTCCTCTTCACTGCTCCAGGGATGCTGGCCACACTGCCAGGACTGCGCCAATCCACCTA